GAGGCAGGAGAAGAATCCCCCAGATGGGAGTCCACGTAGGCGGCTGGTCTTCGTCTCCCCGGCCTCCGGTGTCCCTCCCTCCCCACCTACCTCGCTCCCTCCCGGAGGACTGGAGAGCCGGAGAGGATGGGCCTTCAAGGAAGTGGCGAGGGAGACTGGACAGTCCTCGGTCTCTTGGAGCGAGAAGAGCGGGGTGTGGGGTGGGGACGACTCTTCGGCTCTGCATTGGAACCAGAAAGAAACTTTTCGAGCGTCCGGAGAGTTGTATTTATTTACTTATTAATATTCCTCGTGAGAAAAGCCGGGGCTGAAGCCTGCCTGGAAGTCGCATCCTCTGCCCTGGAAGCCTTTCCCCTTTAATCCCCGACGAGGAAGAGCTGGCAGTTGTCGCTCACTCGGCAGAGGGGACAAGAGGCACCTTACCTACCTCATAGTTATGGTCATTTTCGGCTCCACTCGGAGAATGTTTCTTTTCGCGCATTGTGGGGACGAGCCTCAGCAGTTCAAACATGTTCAGGGCAAAAAACAAAACAAAAACCCTGAGGTTTCATTCATGTGGAGTTCTGCAATTCGCAGGCTGCATTTAATTTCTTGTCTTGGTCTTGAGCTCTCAGAACACATCTGAGATTAGAGTATGGAATTCCCCTGAAATATGTGTCATACAAGACTCACTTTTTTCTCTTTCTTTTTCTTTTTGCAGACAGCTTGTTGATCCGAGTGGATCAGCTGTTGGAAGTCAGTATCCCGTTTTTCCGGATACATTTCTGGAGTGTGGTTTCTCCCTGTGTGTTCTGCTTGCTTTAATGCCGGCGCAGAAGAATAAGTTGGCCAGAGGCGTCTTACAGTCTCATTCTCTCTCCAGGCTGTAATAGGCTTGTGTCCAGGCATTGTGGGGGACAGCTGCTGTTGGTTTTCCTTGTATCTGCCCACAAAGGAGTTAAGGCTCACCCCTCTTGACAATGATGAAGACTGAAGGAAAAGGAGAGAGGACTTTAAGAAGTGCTTCACCACACAGAAATGCCTATAAAGCTGATTTTCATGCTATTAAGTGCAGTTTTGATTCAGTGAACTCTGATAACGCTTCAGACAAATCTGGCCCTCAACAAAAGCTGACCAGTTCATCTAGTGGAGGAAGTACCGACTCACACATTCGGGGCAGAGCTGTTACCTATGGCAACAGAGTGCACAAGATAAAGAACATGTTCATGCAGATGGGTGGCTCTTCCACTTCATCTTGTTGTGAGAATAGCCCATCTTCTGAACTCAAAATAATTGCCAAGACAGTTTCAACTGATACTACACCTCCATCTCCCAGTAGTCCATCGTTCCTGTCAGTTCAAAAAAATAACCTGCTGAATAGTGGCTCTGTTCCCTTCAGTAGTCCCCATGATTCCTTACCTTCTGCTTCATTCACTGACAAAATTATCTGCAGCAGTGATGAGGGAAATCTAGACAAAGCTGCTTTGGCAGAGAAGTTTTCTGAGACTAGGAAAATATTTGAAAGGAACATTAAAAAGCCAGGCTCAGTGGACAGAGGTGCTCTTAAAAATGAAAAGATTGAAGACAGGAAGAGACATGGCTCTACTTCTTCTGACTGTAGCAGTGTAGTAGATCATGTTAATTTTAATACTGATATAAGCTCTCAGGTTGCCGTTGACAAAGCAGAGAATAATGGAAGCAGTGAGCACAAGTTGCAGCACTCCAGTGGTGGTGGTAGATCCTCATCACTGAATGCTGGACCCATTTCTAGAAGACTGGAGAGTTTCTTGGCTGACAGTGACAGTGAAGAATCTAAAGACGTTCTGAAAAATGAAGGTGCCTCCGATTCTGTTCATATAGGATTGTGTAGCTGGGAATCACCAGTGGTTAGAGAAGAATTGTGCCTAAAGCAGAATTATACAATTGCAGCTCCTGCCCATTTGAGTAGCAAATGGGATGAGCTAAATAAGGCCACAGAAGAAACACCTACAAATGATCAGGTGACATCTGAAGGAAATCAGCAATGTGCAATCACCACATCCACTAAAATAGATAGAGCCCCCATTAAAATTTCCCAGGTAGAAGTAGTTAGAGCAGAACTGATTATGGTACAGAACAAAAGTTTAGGGAATAATAGTGAAATTGTGGGAGAAGTTAATGTTTTGCAGAAGGAAAAACCACTGAAATTTCAAAGTTTGGAAGGGGAAGAGAAGGATGTCTCACTGGAGGAAATGGAGGAACTTCGTGTGTGCAGTCAAACCAGCCAGAAAGGAGTAAAAGAGATAATCTCTTCGGAGGAACCTCAAACAAGAGAGCAAGATTATGTAGAACAAGTAAGGGATAGTGAAGATGAAGAGGAATGCCAAGAAGTAGATTTGAGAGATAGTAGTGGGTTTTCTTCCAATGCTTTTGGAATAGAGAATGCAGCTTTTGATGATGACAGAGAAACAGAGTCAAACAGTCAGGGCGTTGAAGGACAAGAAACTCTAGCAGAGGATGAGTATAATTATGACAGTGATTATGAGGAATATCCTGGGCTTTCTGAGGAGGAAGAACCTGATCCAGAGAGGAAAGTGAAGTTTTCCACAGCACCTATCAAGGTAAAGTATCTTGAATACTCTTACTTTCCTCTCCAAACACATGTTGAATATTTGCTTTCCAGAAGCTTGCATGTTGTATGGAATTATTACTACTGGTTTTAGTTACAGTTGTGTAGCAGAACCCCTTGCAACTTAATCATTCCCTGTTGATAGTTAAAGAGCTGAACCTTAGTTTCCTGCTGTTGTAAGTTGAAACTTACTTTCTTGCTGTGTCAGTGTTAAAACAGGGTTTGGTTCTGAGACCCTTCTCAAATTCAGTTCTATTCTCCTTTTCTCTGTCCATCCAAATTCCACCATTTTTGGAATATCTTTTTCTGACCCCTGTGTCATCCTCCCTTCCATCCGTCTTTTGCTGTCTAGCTTGCTCTTCTGTTCTCCTTGACTGGCTTCTCCCATCTATCCTACACTGTTTTCTTGTGCATACTCTCTTACTATGTTACCTCTACCCTCTTCTGGTTTTGTACGTTGTGAGAACAATGTCTCACAATGTACAAATCAAAGAGATTCTAGTGGAGGGTACAGTAAGTAACAGTGGTTGTCAAAAGGGGAGCATCATAAATTAAGCCACCGTAAGCAGAGGATATAATATAATACCAGATGTATCTGTTGAATCTCCTCAGCTTGACTCATGTGATCAGAAACTACTCCCTTTTGATATTGGTAGGGCTTCCAAATAACATACCTACAATTTGATTCTAAAGCATGCGAAATATTCTAACAGTCGATGTTATGTAATGGATAGAGTATTGGACTAAGTCGCAGAAGACCTGAGTTCAAATTGTCACTCGGCGGTGAAAGTTCATTCGGTGGGTGTTTGGTAATGGTACGCTATTTCTTGAATATCACACATAGCTTGGAAACCATATTAGGGTTCTGTGCTGTTAAGAACTGGCTTGATAGCACATTATATGACCAGCCTCTAAATTATGTAAGATATTCTTATATATTAGTGGCTAGTTTGTGGAAATAGTAACTTATGCAGATCACTCCTTTACAAGTAAATAGGTAGTACACAGATTACTATTTCCTGGTTGAGCTAATTAGGAGTAGTATGGATCTTTGGGAAGGTACAAGCAGTGTTCATGTGTGGAAGTTGTTGCAAGTCCATAAGTAATTTCAAATATTCCTACCTCAGTGATTTACAAAGAGGTTTGCTTAAAATAACCATGGTTAATATTAACACACGTGCACAAACATCATTTTAGAGTTGGGTAAGACAAAAAGCTGCTTTTAATTACAAGCAGAACGCTCACCTGCAAGAGGAGAAAGGAGAATGGATTGTGTGTAGCCAATACTTGCTGTGACATTTTCCTCCATGTTCACATGGTAATTTAACATGATTGCCAGTGTTCTGGAGAGGATTAAGGAAGGAACTGTTGTGAAGCCACATCAGTTAAAAGTTCAAATTGTGTTATACAAACACATAATAACATAATGTCATGACGTAAACAACTTGCAGCAGACAGTGGTGTTAACCAAGCTTGTTGCTTGTTATATCTGTCAAATGTGATTCCTATGGCTTCCCAGAAGAAATGAGTGGATGTTGAATTATGTTCCAAGTGAGCACCAGGTGTGTTGAAGCCTAAAACTTTATATTTAAAGAGTTTTAGTAAGGATCCAGATAAGCTTATTAATTTTAATAGTTCAGTTAGTTACATATGATATCACTGATACTTACACAAACAGATGGCATGTATAGAAATTTTAGAAACAATACAGCATACTGTAGGATTTCTAGGAATATTGTAAGAATCATTTTATATTTTCCTGTTGTTGTTTTTAAAAATTATTTATTTTCTACCTCAACTTTTTGCCTGTAGATGGGTTCATAGTGGCTTGGAAATTATTTTATAAACAACAAATATTAAAATAATTACAAATACACTGAAGTAACACTGCTAGCAACAGTTAAGCATAGTCATTATTTAAAAGTACTAAATAAAATATATTTAAAACAATTTAAATAGATATTTAAAAAGATTTTAAAAAAACAGTAGTATACAGTGGTGCCTTGCTTAACAACGATAATCCATTCCAGGAAAATCACCGTTAAGCGAAAACATCGTAAAACGAAATCAAAAACCCCATTGAAATGCATTGAAATCCATTCAGTGCGTTCCAATGGGGCAAAAACTCACCGTCCAGCGAAGATCCTCCATACGGCGGCCATTTTCGTTGCCTGTATAGCGAGGAATCCGTCCCTAAACACAGCGGGGAGCCATTTTAAGCACCCGGTGGCCATTTTGAAACCGCCGATCAGCTGTTAAAAAAACCATTGTTTTGCAAAGAATCGGTTCCCAAAGCAGGGAATCAATCATCGCAAAGCGAAAAAACCCTATTTAGACCATCGTTTTGTGATCACAAATGCGATCACGAAAAGATCATCCTACAGCAGGGGTCTCAAACATGCTGCCCGGGGGCCATTTGCGGCCCGCTGGATGATAGTTTGTGGCCTCTGCCTTGCCTGTCCCCCGAAGCGCCCACGTGTCTCTGCTGTCAAGAGTCAAAAAAAGCCTCGCCTCACTCGCTGGCTCTCTCCCAAGACAGCGCCTCTTGCACCCTCCATCCGGAACTGCAGCCTGCCAGCCTGCCTGCCTATCTGCCGGCTGCACTTCTGGATGGAGGGCGCAAGAGGCGCTGTCTCTTTCAGAACTGCCAACACCAGCCCGGCCAGTGGCCGCCTCAGCGCTGCTCGCCTCGCAAAGTTTGCTTGTCTGTCGTGGTGGGGGTAGCTGCTGCTGCTGCTGCTGAGTGTGGTTTTTTTGAGGGGGGCCCTCAGAGGAAGGTTGCCGGACCTCCATGTGTGTTTGTGTGCGTGCGCGTGCACCTGTGGGGCCCCTGCCCCATTCTGCTTAATTTCGCAGGTGCCGGTGGGGGCTTTTCTCCTTTGGCAAGGCCAATTCTGTGAGGGTTTTTTAAAAAAAAATTATGTCATGCCCTCCCCCCCTCGCTAGGCAGTCGCCGGCGCTCCTTCCCTTCTCTGCTTCTTCATCCTGCTGCTGGTGGTGGTAATGAAGAAGAATCGGAGGGGGTCATGGCCGGCACCCCTCTTCCTCCTCCTCCTCCTCCTTGGAGCCTCAGCCGGACTAAGGAAATTCCTGGGCAGCTTCCTCAGGCTGTTGCTCTGCTTGGTGGAAAATCTGATGCTGCCCAGCCTCACCCAGCCTTTGCCTCCAGCGGTCCCCAAGTAAATTAAGTTTGAGACCCCTGTCGTACAACGATTTCATTGTAATGCAGGGCAATCGTTAAGCGAGGCACCACTGTACACAGTAATTTTTAAGTCTTAGCTTGATGCTTGTTAGCATGTTTAGGATGCACATTTCATTCAGAATTATCATTCTTAGTTTTTGTGCTATAAAGTAACCTCCCTAAGGTAGATGCCCTCTACTGTATATACTGTAGTAGGATCTACAGTACAACTCAGAATTCTACACCATTGACTGTTCTGGCTGGATTTCATGGAAGTTGAAGGCCAGTACACCCAGAGGGCATCAGGTTGGGCAAGATGACTGTAAACTGCATGAAGTAAAATTTCACAACTTCTTCCTGCCGATTTTTTATATCAGTTATGATCTGCAGCCATTTAATATAAGTGCAAATTAGGAAGCACATCATATATATAGACTGTGAATTACATGCAGACATTGGGACCCCCTTCTTTTTAGGAAAGTATTTTGGGTCTACTGGATGGCTGGGGGAGGTCTTTAATTTCCAAAATTGAAAATTTTTAATTTCCAGAAAACCACAGCAATTTATGACATTGGCCTTATGCAGTAGAAAGTAAAGAAACAGGATTCCAACCACTGGATCTCACGACTGTTGGTCCATGTAGACAGCTTTCATTGTGCCAATTGCCTGTTTAGAGTCAGGTGGATGAATGGAATGCATACATTCTCACTTCTAAATGGATAATCATTGTCAGAATTGACTGTGATTGGACTAGATGTGGTGTGAAATGTGTTCACATTTAATGTAGTTTTAAAAAAATATATACAGTATGTAAATATCAGTGCATTGTGTGTGGGAGAGAAAATTATTGGAATTGTTGCAGGCAAAGAAGGAGATGTAGTTGTTCTTCCTGCACTATATTTTTTGAGAAAAATTACTTCTCTGGAGGTGCTGTCAATAACTGGGAGAAATTGCCCATTGGCTCCAAGGGTGATTCCAGCCCAATGGAAATGTTGAGTTCAGGAGAGGCCCTTTCCCTCAAAGCTAAGTTATGGGAAAGTAGAGTTTAAATTGCCCCTCTATATGGGCTATGATCTTGATAATTATCACACCTCTTCTGCTATTTGTCTTTTAGAATATGTTCTTCACATTAAAGTCAAATATTGCAAATTGGCTCATGCCTTGTTTGCTCCCTCCCCATCATTCTCTTGCTACAGTATTTTGGTAGAGATGCATGCCTTGCAGTCCATTGTGCTGTATAATCTTTGGACTGTTGCTTATCTTCCTGGCCTGATACAGATCTCTTGCTAAGTAGCTCTTAGGAAGTCCAACTCACTGATTGTTTTTAGAAATGGGTACAGCAATTTGGTTTCATATTGTAGTGATAAAGCATCAAAAGAACACACAGAAGACTGAGGAAATAGTTGAACAATTACACTTTTTATTTTTGGAATCTTTCATTCAAATAGCCAATAATAACCTCTTAGTATAAATTAACTTCTAAAAATGAGTAAAGTGTGTTGTGTGTAACTGCATTAATTTGCAGCGAACTGTTACACTTTCTGGATCCAAAACTTCATTTACTGCCTGTGGGCAAAGCTGCGATAAACTAGAACAACATCATGTGAGATCGTATCTTTATTTGGCATTTTTAAAATGAATCAGCTGACAGCTATAACATCTCTTTTGGGACATTTTTTGACCAAAATGTTTTTGCTTTGCCTCCGAGAGATCAATTTTTTTTGCACATATCGTAGAGATTGTTAGTTTAATTTTAGGCAAAATATTTGATCTCCACTGCATCTGACTTCTAGTCAGAAGTGAAATGTCTT